CCACTTATTTTTTATTTTTTTTAAATAAATAAATGATTCCACAACGGAGACGGATTATGAATGATAATTTTTGCTTTATGAATATGTAGACATTTTTGCAATAGTTTAGTTCAGATTATGATGATGTTTGTCAGTTTCTTACAAAGTAAGAATCCTTGTGAATTGATTTTTATAGGTTGTACTAATGAATATGTACACATTCTTGTTTAGGATAGGCTTAATATAGACGTGATTAATATCTACATTTATAGACAGTTTTTCATGTGGTATAGATGTGATTAATTTGTAACTTTGGAGACATTATATGCCAGTAAAGTAACATTAAGGTTTATATTACATTTATATTGAGCAAACGTGGATCAGTCATTTCATTTTATTTTTTCGATGATTGGTCGAAAAAAGTGTGTGGTTTATATATTTATTAGCGTATTTTCATATGCTTAATTTTATCGCACTTATATGTTTTCTGACTTATTTATTTATTAGATGAATCCAAGTGCTATTATATTTTTATGTCTTATTTTCAGGATATTAGAGTATTTTTGTGGGCGGTGTGACAATAAACAAAATTTCAGTGGGCAAAGTACGGTGGGTGGCCCATATTCTGCTGCTAACAGAGCTGGTACTCCATATTCGGCCCAATAAAAGCCACAACTTATTGGCCCAAGAGTTTATTATTGTGGATAGGAGCGTGAAGGATTTTGGGCTTGAATTTACAACTTTATTGAAGGGGTCAAATTGTAGCCACCAGCTGGGAGGAATTAATTGCTTGGAGCGTTAATTAAATATTTAATTGGTGCAACAACATGGTAACATGCACGTGAATGAAAGAAATATTGGACCAATCAGATTTTAATTGGTTAAAGAGCCCAACATGAATAGGAGTTATTTTTGAGGAGAGGATTTTATATTTGAGCACGCAACACACCTGGGATTTTAATAGGGAGAAGAGCCCCCAGCAGACAGAGATACACCACGCAGGGAAGCAGCACCCGCTCATGGGGAGATAATTAATCTCTCTCTTTTATCTTTTTATTTTTATTTACACGTTAGGCTAGTTTTTATTTCTAGTTCTGGGAAAGTCGAACCCTACAATTGACGATGTTTGATTGATTTACGTGGTTGATTATTTAGTTATCTTTTTGGAATTGTTTTGTGTTGTTTTGAATAATTAACCATGATGTGTTGAGTCTTATTTAGATTGATTACCTAGATTAGGCTTTACATATCTACACCTGAAGTAGGCATTCAATCCGTAATTGTTGATGCGTTTAATTCGCAAGTGGTATCCGGAAGATGATAACTACGGGGGATAACACAGCCTAATTAAGTGAACGAACGCGTCACTACTTAGTCTAGCCTATTTTTCTAATATGTAAAGCGGCTAATTGTATTAAATCTTAAAAACGTTTTTCTGGACTGTACAAGAAGTCAGGTCTAATCGTAGAGCGTCTTGCGGTTAGATTAAAATAAGGAAAAATTCAGGTAACAGACCGTGTCTTTGCCTATGGCTAGTAATTTCATAAGATAACGAGATTTGATACCATAATTGATTAGATGAGGCAGTCGAGGGTGTAGACGGAACCGTGAACTAGAAAATTCTCTTATTTATTTTATTTTATTTTTATTTTTATTGTTTTGATTTCATTCTTAGATAGATGAGTTATTAATTCAAAATCCCCCCTTTTATTGCTTTCATAATAATTTCAATTAATACGAGAAAATTCACGATTCGATTCACACTCCCTGTGGGATCGACCTTTGCTCACCACTACTACTAGTTAGTAGAGGTTGGTTAAGAAAAATATAAATTTTAATTTTGCCGCGTTGCGACGCGCGGTCATTCTACAACTACCTGCATAGATCTCTGTACATGAATTATTTTTTAATTAGAACCCACGACAAGGACTCGACCGACATCGCCAAAATGCACTTCCACGAATTTCCGACCCCCAAAATTTGGAAACCCGAATCCCGACCCGTATGCCCCGAAAAAATTCCTGTCTCAGCTTCTCCATTCGTTTTTCGCCAACTTCGACTTTTTTTTTTTTTTTTTTTTGCGTTCGTGCAGAACCTTTCGAAAGACTACATATGTATATAAAAATTTACCATTATATGTTGATCTTAATATTTATATTATTGGTATCATACGAATATAATGATATGATTTATTAAAAGTTAACATCTTATTAATTTCCTTCCATAAAGTATTAGGAGCGTAATTTTAATATTTAATATTATAACAAGCTTAATGTTGGTAATTGAAAAAGTTTAGCACATATATATCATATGAATTTTAAAAGTTATCAATAAGTTGGTAATTGTGTGTGGTGGGTGATTGTGTGCTATGACGTTGTATGGAGTCAGTTGTCAGCCCATTTCCAATCTTCTACTCGAATGTGAGGAATATAAAAATTTAACTTTCGTCAATCATTCAGATTCTCTATAATTGAAAAATGCTAATATAAAAATTTAACTTTAGTCAATCATTCAGATTCTCTATAATTGAAAAATGCTAAAGTCCTGTTAAAAGGATGGTTCCGTTAGTGTTTTCACTATTGAATATACATGTAGATTATGTAGTGTAGATAATCTACTCAACCGGACTATAGTCGTTCCTCATATTATTATTCTACATAAAATATATTAGTACTAAATAAAATTTAAATACGACTACAAATTACAATTTATAATTATTTAACAAAATAATTAAGTATTTAACACTAGCCGATCGTCACCTCTAGTTTTATTCAATTTGCTCCATGTTATCCTGTCGCTTTACAAATAAAGTAGCAAGTTCTAACACGTCACGTGTTTTCATGGTACAATACCAACATATATATCATGTTACCAAGAAATGCTACAGTTCATTACAGAACCATTTTATTGGAACTTGAAACGGTTAGATAATCTTGCAATCGTCGTGGATAGTTAATTTAACAGTTATAAATCTTGACGGAATAGTTTCGTAACGATACCGTGAATCTCCCCATGTTACCATACAAATTCCCCAAAAGTGACCTTTCATTGTATTGTACACCCGTGAATGAAACTTAATTATCATGAGGAACTACATATTCTCCAATTTCTATATATTTTTTTTTAAAGGACAAATTAATAAAACAAAATTTTACAAGCGACTTATTAGCCAATCGAAACAAATATATAATTTCATTAAGAGAGATACCTACACGAAGAGAACACTTGTAGCCTAGAATTAACTAAATTAGACGAACCCATAAACTAGATACAACATTGTAATCTAAGCTCCCACAAAGGAGAATTCCAACTCCAATGATTATCCTCTCTATATATAATTCCAGAATGCGCTGAGCCTACGTGGCTGCTTCTGGTGCTTCGGAATCCTATTTGGCGAAGAATCATGCTTCGTAATTAGGTTTGGACAAATAATATTAATATATTAATAATTAATAATCTAGGTTCGGGTATTCCATAAATATTATTTAGCTAACTTAGGTATTTTAATATCACTTTTACTAATATAACCCTTTAATTATTTGTAATTTTACATAGTGAGACACTAAGTGACTAATATATCCCTAAATTTTGATTTGTTTCCTTCAATAAGCTATTGAATTATAAATGTATTTTAAAAGTATATAACTTTTGTATTTCTTATCGGTTTTACATATATAATATATCAAATTAATCATCTTTTGATGATCTTCGATTTGACATCCATATTGTATATATAAAATAAATAAATTATATTTTTTTATAATAATAAAAAATAATAATATTTATCAAAATTCATTAGAAAAATAAAATTATTTTTCAATTGATATATTTATATTTAATGTAGTTATATAGTGTGTTGATATCATTTTCTGTAAGCTGAGTTAAGCGACACTAATCCGTTGATCGAGACCAATATGATGATGGTTAGAGTTCATACGGGCACGAGACACTTCCACCAGCTTCAAGACGATTACACAATGAAAGATTTAGCGGAAACCGATATCCTTACTAAGCTGACCGATGTCACATGTCGGTCAACACATGTCGGTCAGCACATGTCGGTCGACACATGTCGGTTACTACATGTCAGCCACGACGTATCGGTTACAACTAGGTGAACCGATATCTATAACATGCCAGCTCAGCATGGTAAGGCGGTGACAACTCAGCATAACTCATCATTACGCTTATCCAAGTGGCAAGCCAACAAGAGGAGCCATCAAAGACCGCCTTTGACCTTTCAAATGTAATGATTATCGTACGGATAATTATGGTGTGTAAATATAAAAGGGAAATAGAGAAATTCCCAAACACACAAGAATATCACACTGCTAAAAATTACATTCCCAGAAATAATATACAAGCTTTCCATCGCTAAATATTTACATTTACTTAAAATATACCTCAATTTGGTTGTTGTTAATTCCTATGTAACAACATAGTGTAAGTTAAAAAATTAGTATAATATAACACAAGTAAGTCGCACAAATAAAAAGTATCATAATAAATATATAATAATATATATATATATATATTCTTATAAAAGGTATTTAAATTTTCAAACTACTTTTTCTCATTAATTTTAAATTTTTAAAAAAAAAATTAGCAAGCACCCGTGTAATACACGGGTGTTGTACTAGTTTTATATATAATTCTTAAATGTGCTGATCATAAGTGGTAGACTCGCATTATTCGTGATCCTACATGACAAATTTTCATGCTTTATCATTCAACTTGGATAATTTTTAAGTTACTTTCAATAAAAAAAATAATTAGATTTGAAATAACCGTAAATATTAATTATGTTACATTTCCTACATCTTAAATAACATATAAAAACTCTTGAGGGAGAGCTTTGCCGCCCTTGTGGTCCTACCTTGCTCGATTCCGGATTAGTCGGTTCCCCTGTGAATCCGGAAACCGGAAGGTCCGTGTACAAAAAAAAAAAGAAAAAAAAAAAAATATAAAAACTTCTCCCTATATAAATAAATACATCCTAAAAGACTTGGAACCCTCAAAACATGGCTAACGTGGATAAGCCAAGCCGAGCCGATGGAGCTCACATTTTGGTAGTCCCTTATCCAAGCCAAGGCCATGTTAACCCCATGCTTCAACTCTGCAAGCGCCTCGCCTTCAAAGGCGCCAAACCCACTTTAGTCATAACCAAATTCATCTCCAAGACCTTCAACCCAAAATCATCTCATCTCAATATTGCCATCGACACTATTTCCGACGGCTTTGACCAAGGCGGCTTTGGTCAATCGAAAGGCGTCGAGGATTATTTGACTCGTCTAGAAATCGAGGGATCGAGATCACTCGAGCACCTCGTGAAATCATACCAAAGTTCTATCCGACCGATCGATTGGGTGGTCTACGACTCGTTTTTAACTTGGGCTCTGGATGTCGCCAAAAAGCACGATATCAAGTCGGCTTCTTTCTTCACTCAGGCTTGTATGGTTAACTATGTGTACTATTATATCTATGAAGGGGTTTTGAAACTTCCGGTGACAACGCCGCCGGCGGTGGAGCTGCCGGGGCTGCCGCCGCTCGAGCTGGCGGACATGCCATCGTTTGTGTGTGTGCCCGGGTCGTACCCGGATTATTTCAAGTTGATTTCGGGCCAGTTTAGGAATGTGGAGAAGGCTGACTTGGTGCTTTTCAACACGTACTACAAGCTGGAATTGGAGGTAAATAATTAAGCTGTGTGCGTGGTGAATTTTGTTTGTCTTGAGTCTCAATATTTGTGTGGTTAGTAAAATCCTTTCAAATTTACCATATCATTTAGGGGAGATGCTACGGTCTCGTCACGGAACAAATCCGTCGGGGTTGTAACTGTTAGATGAACTATTACTGACAGTTACATGATGATCTAACTGTTACAAACCCGACGAAATGGTTCCGTAACGAACCCTAACATTTTCTAGGATTTAGTTAGATGTCACCTTCTCAACATTAATATTCCCACGTGTTTATGTGAACTTATGTACGAAATTCAATGATGTCCGACAACGACAGGCCGTGGAATCAATGTCAAAGATATTTCCAATACTAACAATCGGGCCCACACTTCCATCTTTCTATCTGGACAACCGCGTACCTAACGACCGCACATACGACATCAACCTTTTCGAATCAAACTCCTCGGCCACCATCGCCAATTGGCTAGACGCAAAGCAGCCAGGCTCGGTCGTCTACGTGGCGTTCGGCAGCATGGTCGATCTCTCCCGAGCCCAGACGGAGGAAATAGCCCGTGGTCTGACGGCAGCCGGTTTCGACTTCTTGTGGGTCATTCGGGAGTTCGATTTCGAAGAGCTGGTGGAGCCCGCGCACGGCAGGGCACTGGTGGTGCCGTGGAGCCCGCAGCTGGAGGTGCTGTCCCACGTGGCGGTGGGGTGTTTTTTCTCGCATGGAGGGTGGAACTCGACGACTGAGGCACTCAGCCTGGGGGTGCCAATGGTGGTTTTCCCACAATGGACGGACCAGACAATGAATGCAAAGCTCGTGCAAGATGTGTGGGGGGTCGGGCTGAGGGTGGGTGTGGGCCCGGATGGGGTCGTGAGTCGGGATGAGATCGAGGGGTGCGTGAGGGAGGTAATGGAAGGGGAGAAAGGGAAGGAGATGAAGAGGAATGCTTGCAAGTGGAGTGAGTTGGCTAAGGAGGCCGTGAGTGAAGGTGGCACCTCGGATGCGAATATTAACTACTTTTTATCTCAACTTTCCACGAGTTCTTCGTCATGAAAAGGTTGGGCATTATTGTTTGAAGTGTGTGGGGTGGGGGAAGATTTAAATAAAATAAAAGACTTAATGTTTGGGTTGCAAAAATAATTGAGTAAGATGATCTATGATTGGAAAAGATATATGTTGTTGCATGGTTATAGCGTGAGAGAAAATCGCTATGTTTGACAGTAGCATATTAAACATTACCCAAGAGCGCTTGGATGAGATGGTTTGGGTCTCTTCCAGCTTAACTAGTGGTCTCGTGTTCGAGCCCTGAGAATGCAGCATTGTTAAAACTCTTGAGGGAGAGCTTTGCCGCCCTTGTGGTCCTACCGGACTCGATTCCGGATTAGTCGGTTCCCACGTGGATCCGAAAACCGGAAGGTCCCTGTACCAAAAAGAAAACATTGATATAGGTTATTAATTTTATTTAAATACTCTGAGTTGTATGGTATTGTGAACTAATTTTTGTCATTCAATAAATTGATCCCACGTTCATCTTGCTGGTGACCTCTCCCAACTAGTCGAGGCATACGCTAGGCAAATCCTGCGCGCGACTCTCGCAGCAAATCGCTCGCAGCCCACACGCGACGTCTGCAGCACACGCCACTGCTCATGGGGTCGCTTAGCGTCGCACTGAAGCTCGACAAGCGAACACACTTGCGGGGTCGCGAGTGCCAGCGTCGCCCAACGGGCTGTCACGACCGCACGCGAGTGTCAGGTCTCGGCGCAGTTCGCTCAGCGACAGCTTCTTAGCCAGCGAGTACTGCGAGCACGCAGCTCGCTTAACGGACTACCTCGCCATCACGTGAGTGCAAGCGCCCATGATACTCTCCTAGCGATCTTGCCCGCCAACAAGTGAGTACCAGACCAACCAACGAACATCCAGCGAACCCGTTTGCCCACTCGTGAGTGCCAGTGAACCTGTTCGCCAACCAATGAGTGTTGTCTCATTAAATGTGCGTATTTTAGTGTGCGTTTTGGTTCAAACTATAAATAGACTTAGTACTGTGTATTTTGGCCATCTTTCTCTCATTTGCAAAATTTCTCTTCTTAGTTTCTCTCTCTCTCTCTCTCTCTCTCTCTCTCTCTCTCTGTTTTGTTTTTTGCTCTATATGCTCAAAGACCCAATTTTTTTTGTAATATTTCTCTGTTAAGAATGCACCTTTTCGGCTTATTTCTTCTCGTGGATCATACTAGAGACTTGGAGAGTTAGTGTAAGGTTCAAGATCTCGTATGTTTCTCTTGTCTTGTTGGATTTTCTAGGGTAAATGTAGAAACTTTCATGAGAAGAATATGCTATCATCCTCGTAGGCTAGGAAATATGCGATTTTGTTATTGATTTATGTGAGCGAGAATTGATTGAGAGGTCGATTAGTTCATTCGCGAGTGACGATTGCTTAATTTTATGTTTGTGAATATGTAAGTGTCTTCTTTCCACCTAGGGTCTTAGGGTTCTTAGTTATTTTTCTCTATTTTTCTTTTTTTTACCTTGCAGATTGAGTACTGCTTGGATTGAAGTTTGAATCTTGCTTTTGTTCTAGCTTTAAAGTTGTGATTTTTAGCTTAATTCAACTACCAACTTGCGATTAGATTGTTTAAGACCTTTATTTTTATATATATATATTAATCATTGTCCAAATTCGAGTCTTAACAATCTTCCTCGAGAGGCACGACCTGAGGTCGAATTTATCCCATACTCGGTTAAAAATCTACAAACAAAATGGTGACATTGTCGGGGAAGACGAGTAGAACATTGGATTTAGATAATTGATTGTCTTATTTTTCGCATTTCTCTTGATTTTTGTGAAATTGTTTAATTTTTATGTCTTCCTTTGGATTATTTTTTCTTGTTTTCTCTTTCTCTTGCTATTTTCATGTTTGTGAGTTTGTGAATATTGTGTCGTGTTAGTTGTATTTTTGCATTTTCTTGTCTTGGTCGCGTATGCCTTGGTTTGTTGTTCTTTGTGCGAGGTAATTCGCTTGAGAAGCTTTGATAGACCCATACGCCTATTTTTATATTGAAAGCTCGTCTCTTAGATGTTAATTAAATCACCACCAACATATGAAGAAGTTTCTTGAAATATCTAGCAATATGAAATCCCCCATATATATATATATTAATTCAGAACGTGCTGAGCCTAAGTGACATGCTCGTATGCTTTGGGATCAGGCAAAGTTACATGAATTGTTATTAGGCTTGGGTAGATTTTAATTTACTTTCAATATAAAAATAATTAGGTCCGGACTATCCATAAATATGTTGATTATTTATGGTCATGTTACATGTATTAATTGCATTTTAATATTATTTCTTATTATAAACATTGAATTGTAAGTATTTCAAAACTTAATAACTTTTGTATTTTTTTATCAGTTTTACATATATAATATATCAAATTAATCATCTCTTGATGAGCTTCGATTTAACATTCATGTTGTATGTATAAAAGAAAAATTATATTTATCTTTATAACAATAACACAATTATTTTTTTAACATTAATTAGAAAAATAAAATTATTTATCAACTAATATATTTATTTTTCAAGTAGTTATATATAATAAGTTATAAAAGTTATTATAATATAACACATTTAAGTCATACAAATAACAAGTGTTATTCTAAAATATATAATAATATATATTCTTTGTAAAATAATTTTTTAAAATTTAATATAATTTCTCATTAATTTTAAAATTTAAGAATAATTTTTTTAACAAGCATCCGTTTAATACAAGGGTGTTGTACTAGTATCAATTAGTTAAAAAAGTGCTAGAAAAGAGTGTTATATTATTTTAATGTTTTGTTTGCTAATTAATCTACATACTAGAAGCTTCTATGGCTAGTATAAATATAGGTAGAGTGTGCGTGTGTTGTGTGTGATTAACAAGAAACGAGTGAGTGAGGTGTTTGTGTGTGAGTACTACTAAAACATAGTGTTGGCATTTGTGAGTGTTAAAAAAAAA